AAATTCGTTACCTTATCTTATGGGTAGTTAGTTATCTTATAATTAGTATTAATTATCTTATCTAATTGGTAGTTATCTTATTAGCATTTCTTTTCTTATTTCAAATTAGTTGACTATAAAATAGTTAGCCTACAAATTAAGCAATTGCATTCGATATTCTCTCAATCTCTTTCTTTTTATCTTATAGTTTATTTCATAACTAACATTTATTATCTTATTTCTAGTTATTTGTTATCTCTCAATCCTTTTTTTTTTCTCTCAATCTACTATTTCCTTTCCCTCATTGCAAGGTCTAATTTCTCTCATCTCCTAGCAATCTTTTTCTCCCATGCTTCTCTCTCTTTTCTTCCTATCTTCTGTCAAACGAATAGCAACAGAACAAGATGCTTACAAAGAGTTTCTTTGGACGGCCAGAAAATGCTAAAAAGCCATATGAATTTCCAAAAAAGCATGTGTTTATGAGTCCAATATCAATATATATTGGTCCTTTGGTAGAAGAAATATGAACAAGGTATGGTCATTCTTTTATTTTTTTCAAGAATTATATCAAGACCGCTATAAGTGCTCAAAAACATAACAAGTTTGTAAGAGTGTTTTTCGGCATATATTCAATTAGTTCAAAAGGTGACGGGTTAATCCATCTCGATCCATTTTCATCCCACAACATCAACATCAACAACACCTTTATCCCAAATTAATTGGGGTCGGTGGTAGATGAACCCACATGAAAGATACAAAACGGTTGAAAAAAAAAATAAAAAATAAAATAAAAATAAAAATAAAAATAAAAAAAAATAAAAATAAACAAATAAAATAAAAATATAAAATAAGATAAAATAAAATAACAATATATGTATATATAAATAAATAAAAGTAAAAAAGAAAGGGACAAGAAGAAGTGGGGGAAATGAAGGGGAAAAGGACTAAAAAGGGACCATCTGGAACATAGGAATAACAACGGGTCTAACCCTCCACCATACTTATAGCTTTTCTCCATTCCGTTCTAAGACATACTGTTCGCCAATCTATATCCCATTCCATTAAATCTTGTTTTACTACTTTCCCCCAAGTAAGCTTCGGTCTACCTCTGCCTCTTTTTGTGTTGAGCTCTTGGTAACAAACTTCTGTTCTTACAGGAGCATCCATGGGTCTTCTCATCACGTGCCCAAACCACCTCAATCTATGTTCTCTCATCTTCTCGGCTACCGGTACTACTCCGACCTTTCGTCGAATATCTTCATTTCTTATCTTATCCATCCTTGTGTAACCACACATCCACCTTAACATCCTCATCTCTGCTACTCCCATCTTATGCTCATGTTGCCTATGTGCTGGCCAGCATTCTGCTCCATATAGCATTGTCGGTCTTACTGCCGTTTTATAGAATTTTCCTTTTAACTTCAGGGGGATTTTGCGGTCACACAAAAAAGCAGATGCACTGCGCCATTTCATCCACCCTGCTCTGATTCTGTGATTTACATCCTCATCAATCTCTCCACCGTTTTGTAAAATGGAGCCCAAGTATTTAAAAGCATCTTTTTTGGGTACCTCTTGACCATTTAGATGCACAGGTTCTTGGTCCTCATCTCGTACCAGAGAAAACTCACACTTCAGATACTCAGTCTTGCTTCGACTTAATGTGAATCCTCTGGATTCCAATGTGCTTCTCCACAATTCAAGTTTTCTATTAACACCCTCCTTGCTCTCATCAATAAGCACAATATCGTCTGCAAAAAGCATACACCATGGCACTTCCTCTTGAATATCTTTTGTTAGTTCATCCATAACTAAGGCAAAGAGGTAAGGACTTAGAGCCGACCCTTGGTGTACACCTACCGTGATAGGAAAATAACTTGATGATCCGTTACAAGCTTTTACACATGTAGTAGCCCCATCATACATATCCTTGATTGCCTTTACATACTTTAATGGAACCTTTTTCTTCTCCAGGACCCACCATAAAACTTTCCTTGGAACCCTATCGTATGCTTTCTCAAGGTCTATGAACACCATATGCAAGTCCTTTTTCTTTTCTCGGTATCTTTCCATTAGTTGTCGCATCAAGAAAATTGCTTCCATGGTACATCTTCCTGGCATAAATCCAAATTGATTTACAGAAACCTTGGTATCTCTCCTCAAGAGATGTTCAATAACCCTCTCCCACAACTTCATAGTATGGCTCATTAGCTTAATGCCTCTATAGTTTGAACAATTCTGTATATCTCCCTTGTTTTTGTAGATAGGCACAATCATACTTTTCCTCCATACACCAGGCATCTTATTCGTCTGGAGAATCTTATTAAAAAGATTGGTCAACCATTTTATTGCCACATCCCCCAGGCCTCTCCACACTTCAATAGGGACACCATCAGGCCCTAAGGCTTTATTAGTCTTCATCCTCTTTAAAGCCTCCTTAACTTCATGTGTATTAATTCTGCGTACAAATCTTCTATTCATATCATCACACACGTCCTCTAAGTCCACCTCGCTTGTATCTCCATCCCCATTATACAGCTTGTTGAAGTATTTCAACCACCTTTCATTTACATCTTCATCTCTCACCAGAAGTTTTTGATTTTCATCCTTGATGCATCTAACTTGGGTGAGGTCTTTACTTTTCTTATCCCTTATCTTTGCAAGTTTATAAATACCTCTTTCACCATCCTTGCTCCCAAGATTTTTATACAACTCGTCGAAAACCTTGCCTCTAGCTTCTCGCACTGCTTTCTTTGCATTTTTTCTCGCCAATCTAAACTTTTGCAGGTTCTCTGCACTGGGACTTTTATGCAAAGATCTAAAGCACTCCTTCTTATGTTTAATTGCCTCTTGCACCTCTCCATTCCACCACCATGTTTCCTTTGTATGAAATCCATTTCCTTTGCTTTCTCCCAACACCCTCCTTCCCAAATTTTGAATACACTTAGCCATCTCATTCCATGTTGCATTTACTCCTCCATCAAACTCCCAAGGTCCTTCGTGCAACATTCTATCATTGAACTCTCTCTCTTTACCCTCCTTAAGCTTCCACCACCTTATCCTTGGATTCTGAGCCCTCTTCTTCATTGTACGCACTTTGTTGAACCGAACATCCAAGACTACCAGCTTATGTTGCGTAGCGACACACTCTCCAGGGTAGACCTTACATTCGACACAAGAAGTTCTATCTTCTCTTCTAGCCAGAAAGAAATAAATAAAAAATGGGACGGGACGAGATCACTTATCTTTAACTCTCTTTAATATAGAGTGGATTGTGTTGGGTTAGTGGGTTAAAATATTTAACTCAATCCGCCAAAAAAGGCTAACACACAAAGGTGGCCCATTTAGTCACCCATGTCATGGAAGAAACATCCTTATAAACTCTTTCACAATAATATTTTTTTGTTTCTACTGGTAGAACATTTACCGTGAGCACTTATAACAATGTTGATGCAATTCTTGAAATATATATATATATATATATATATAGAAAAATGATCTGTTTACAAATTTTTCTTACAAATTACACTAAGTATGACCAGTCATACACTCTTGATTGAAGTATGACCGGTCATACTTAGTGTAGTTTGTAAATATAACCTTCTTCATATATATATATATATATCGAAAAATCCAAAATTCAGTCACTGGACTGTCCAGTGAGTGAATTTTGACTATATTCTCCCGCGAGAATAAGGGCCGACCCAGTTCAAATACCCACTTCGTGAGTGTCTGGGGAAGGGAATACTCTAGGCAGTCTTTCCCCTGCTTTTTGCAGAGAGGCTGATTCGAACCCGCGACCTGACACACCACGGCAAGCAAGCTTACCGCTGAGCTAAGCCATATAGTGCAAAAACATTACAATGGTGTTCTGCAGGTGTTCTCCCGGGAGAACATAGGCAAAAAATTTTGTGCACTATATTCTCGCGGGAGAATATAGTGCACTGGACCTAATTTACATCAAGTCACTTGATATTCACTAAACCCTATATATATATATATATATATATATATATATATATATATATATATATGACCACACCTTGTTTGACATTTCTTCTATCAAAGGGCAGTTGGAAGCAGGCTATTTTGGCAATTCATATGGTTTTTTAACATCTTCACTCTGCAAAAGGAATGCCCAAGTCAAGTCAAAAATTTGAACTCCGGTGAACCTTCATAGTCAAGTCAATCCTTAAGTTCTTTATTTGTTTGCGGCAGTGATTAAATATCAATTGGTAATATAGTTTATAATATTGAGCCTTAAAAATGACAACTCCAAAGATGAGGCAAAAATTATATAATTGCAGAATTTATGATTTCATACAATGCAGCACAAAAGAGGAGAAATAACAGCTAAAACAGACATGAAAAACAGAACATTGTAATCTTTAATCATTTGGTTTTTAGCTCTGGAGAGGAACTTTGCAGATTTATTGGCTCTGGCTAGTGATTGACTACAGTTTCAGAAGTGAAGCACTAAATTGGCAGATGCAGAATTCTTAGTTGGAATGTAGCATCTCTAAAATTTTATATCATTGATTTACTTGGCAGTAAAATAGTTTGAAACAGCATTTTATTTCTTTCGGAATATAACACTAAACACTATTGTAATAAGAGATAGAAGTAACTCATAGTTGTATGAAGCTTTGTTTGGAAAAATTTCTTTTCTTTTATGTTTTTTCTCCCACATTAAATTTATTACTGTGTATTTCTTTTATTCTGTCCTATAACTGAACAATGATGAACTGAGTTCTTGATTGATGATAATTTTTTATGAGTCAGGCAAGTGGATAATTAACATTCTAAAATGAACAACGAGATTATTTCTATACTTGCTAAAGTTTTAACTGCTAGGTTGGAAAACGTAGCAAGCTTTTTTGTTCCAAAAGAAGAAAACATAGCACCCTTTTTCATGAGCCAACCACAGTGACCATAGTGAAGTAGATTGTCATTTTGTTCAAAGAAAAATATCAAATAACATTTTTATTTCAACTTCCCATTTTCCAACTAGTGAATAATTATCAGATTTGTTTACTAGGATTTTCACTGAAGTTAGAATTAGTATTATACTTTACAAATTATCAAGGCATAATCAATGTATATCATATACTGAAGCCTTAGAGAGATCATAAAAAAAAAAAATACTAGTGTTTTTTTTACATAGTCATTGGGCTTGGTATATTTTTGTAACCCTATAATATGTATATAAAGACAGAAACAGAAGGGCCTAATCTCAGTGATAACTGTCTACTTCTCGTGCACTTAGAACTTCTCACTCTCTTCTTCCTTCTTACATATTACATGCCTTTATATGGCAGTTTCCAATGCCTTCCTACAGGGAAAATATGCTGGAGAAACCTGAGGAGTCGGTAACAAGTTGCATCAACCAAATATATACATATATTCCAATTCGTTAGCAGCTACTGCATTGACATACGCAAGTGCATTGAGAGGGGGCTCCATAAAGAAAAGGAATGAGCTTAAAACAATGATGAATATGGTGAACACAATTAGTGATTTGCATGAACCACCATATTTTCTAACAAGTTTGAGTCCTTCCTCTTGACCAGTTCCTGATGATGTATCATCCAGCTGAAGACTTGGGCTGGTTAAAAAACCATATGCCATGCCTGTGAAAGCTGCTCCAAAATGTGTCCTGCAGATAAGCCAGCCACCACATAAGATTTCTATTTTACAATTTAAAGAACATTTTGGAAATATTTGAATTATTTTCTCCTCAATATGAAAATTGGGCGGTTTTGTCCGGTCACTGTATTATAACTATATATTTTCGGGACTACATAATTATAATATCAAAGTTGTACTTTTTTCTCTCTTTTCATAAATTTGTCTGCTGGTGTGGAAAGTAAAAAAAATATAACTTTAATATTATAACTATATATTCCCGGAAATACATAGTTATAATGCGGTAACTAGACAAAACTTTATATTTAGTGACTGGACACCATATGGACCCTATATATATATTAATATCACCAACCCCAAATAGTTTGAGATAATGGTGTTGTTGATGTTGCTGCATATTTTTAACATGGGGCAGATTATTCTTATACTAGCGCAAGAATAAGAAGTTTTATACTCATTCTTGGTAATTGTTCCACTTGTATCATGGCTCACATAATTACAAAATTAGAACCTTTAGATGTAAGTGTGATCAATGACCAAGACTGAGAGTTAAAGTTACATTAGTGTAAAAGGATCCTAACCCTTTGGGACATATCAGGCTTTATTATTTCGTACATGATATGAAAAGTGAACTTGTTCTCATGGTGTGAGATCCAAATCATTTACATGTATGTATGCCTCTTCCTTTTGAAGTTAAGTTTCTTTCATATTTTATTGAGTTTCATCTGTAAACAAAATTTCTGAGTAATGTAAGCCATACATACCACTCATCAATTGGGCCAAGAGTGCTTAATATGAAACCAAGAGCTGTAATGATTATTGCCTTCCGGAACATGTTTTCTGAAGTATCATTTCCAATAACATCTCTATTTTGAATTTGATACACGAGCCAAGCACCAATTATTGCAAATACAGGTCCCTGAGTGCAAGCTGAAGTTAGAGATAGGGAGTTGAAGACAAAACAAAAGAGATCAAACAGAAAGAAAGATGTTGCAAAAATTAATTCAACTTCACAAATCATTTGCAGAAGGATAAAAGTAAAGTTTTAACAGCTTTTAAGCAGGACACAAACCAAGACATACAGAAGGAATGAAATATAGAAAGTAAACTTTTATGCAAGAACCTTTTTTCTCCATTAGTCCTACTCTAAAACAATTAGATTGTGTTGGGTATAGCTCATACTTCGCATGCTGATGAGAGCTCTTATTGTCGGGGTCAACAGAAAGGTAACTGGGGTGAATAGCTACTGTAACTTTTTCTTTTCTTAGTAGTTTGGGCTTGGGCCTCATGAATAGCTATTGTTAGGGTTTTTCTAATCCTATTTATATTCTTCTTGTAAACCGAGTGACTTGTAACGAGTGGCGATGAGGTGAATATAGTACAGACAAGCTGGACGTAGCCTACATTGGGTGAATCAGGATAAATCACCGTGTCAATCTCTGTTTTCTTTTCTGTTTTGTCGATTTTGTGTGATTGTCGATTTCCAACAGATTGGTCATAAGTTCTTTAAACTTGTTGATGATAAGTCCTTTGCAGAAAATTTTGCATAATATATCTACTTAATTAATCTAGTTTAATAGAATGATCCTCACTTGATTTCCTTCAATACCTTGAACTTATGCACATACAAAGCCATTATAATTTGAACTAATCAAATTCATTTAGCATCCTTGCTCACAAACATTATGGGGGAAAAGCAATGTCTACATTGGTTTTAAAAGTCACATTAAAACATAATCATCTATAATTTCTTTTAATTGAAAACTAATTTTTCTAGAAAATTTGTTAAACAAAAAGGACAATGACTTAGAGTTGTAGACTGATACTTACAGTCCCACCAACAGTTGGATCTGGTGTATGTAGAAAACTTGTCAGGTTGCCAGAAATTCCACCAAGTATGTAGATCAAGAAAAATGTAAATGAACCATAGCCTCTGCAAACTTGAGGCCCAAATGATACAAGGGCCCAACAACTGAGAGCCGTGTGAAATATTCCTGCATGCTGCATATGAAAAAATTAATAAGTTGGCGTAAAAGACACAGTTACAATGAGATTAATTTAGGATGTGGTATTAAGTATATATCTCAAGCAACTGATAGCAAACACTTGTCCACTTTAGTTTTGCAAAGAGTTTCTAGACTTCCCATCAAGATTAAGCAATTAGTCAATGACTCCATTTTTCCATGCAGGAAGCATATTGTAAAGAACCACTTCAACCCAAAATCTTAAGGTATTGGGTGAGGGCCTTTTATATTATTCTCTAACACATCCCCTCACGCAAGAGTCCTTTGGACTTGAAGCGTGGATATTGCACAGGCCTAATTTTTGGTTTACCGTGTGAAATATTCCTGCATGCTGCATATGAAAAAATTAATAAGTTGGCATAAGAGACACAGTTACAATGAGATTAATTTAGGATGTGGTATTAAGTATATATCTCAAACAACTGATAGCAAACACTTGTCCACTTTAGTTTTGCAAAGAGTTTCTAGACTTCCCATCAAGATTAAGCAATTAGTCAATGACTCCATTTTTCCATGCAGGAAGCATATTGTAAAGAACCACTTCAACCCAAAACCTTAAGGTATTGGGTGAGGGCCTTTTATATTATTCTCTAACACATCCCCTCACGCAAGAGTCCTTTGGACTTGAAGCGTGGATATTGCACAGGCCTAATTTTTGGTTTACCTTGTGCTTATTTAATTCCACTAGAATGTGGGGGGACACCGAGTATCGAACTCGTGACCTTTTGGTCACTGAAGCTTTGATACCATGTAAAAAATCACTTCAACCCAAAACCTTAAGGTGTTGGGTGAGAGCCTTTTTAATGGTTTATATTATTCTCTAACACATATCAGTAACTTAGCACTTCTAGACTATAATGGCTGTGTTTTAATGCTGTTGGTTTGAAAGTTATATAACTTTGAAATAAAGCCACTTCCCAAAAGTAAATGTAGCATGACACACAGCACAAATTTAAATCAAAGACAGAAATTAAATCATTTGATTCTCCCAAATTATGATGAGTGTCATGTAAACAATGCTCTATATCTGTGGAATGGAAACACGGACCCAGTTCTCAAGCTTGTACCAGAAACATTGGTGTTACAAGCCTCCACCATTCTCCAACCACGATCAAATGATTTATCTTTGCTCCATATAGCAGTGGAAGAGAAAACAGCTCTAAGTCAGCATTCCTTATAGGACTTGCTATTTCAAATAGAAGCACTGCAATGTTTACAGAAGCCAATATACCACTGCATCCAAGTTAACAACAGAGAAGGATAAGAGAGAGCTACTTATCATAAGCCATATGTTAAACAATCAACATGGGAAGCAAGTATGATAGAACCAAAAGTAGTCTTTGAAAAGATAAATCAAGAATTATGAAAGAGCAAAACTCACATTAGGTAGAGACTGGAGGTTTCATCACTAGGTAGAGACCTTGGACCATGCACACCTTTTATTCTTTGTATATCCACATACATATTTTGTTTCCTAAAGTTTGCTCTATCATTTTCTTTGCTGAGATATTGCTTTGGTGCTAAATTTTTTTCACTACGACTCTCAACATAAGTTGGAACATGAGATACTTGGTTTACACCTGCATACAAAAATACTTCCAAATTCATCTTTGCAGCAAGCATTAAGCTAAATACAAAAACATGAGATCTAAACACAACAAGAAAGACTGAAGATGTATTTCTTGTATAATTATTATTAATATTATTCATGTTTATATTTTTTCAAAACTTCCAGTGTTAGCATTTACAATTTTAAAAATTCATGTCAAGTACTTTTTCTAAGGAGGCATTGCAATACTCAAAAAGTAATTACACTTTACCATTATTTAGTTTTCCAAGATATTCATCAAGGGAATCCAGTTCATTTTCTATTCTGGATTGACTATCTCTGTGATGAACCTGCAGCACCTTGTTTGATGAGTCCAAAGTATTTAATTTTTCATTATCTTGGAGTTTTCTGAAATAAGAATCTAATGAACTTAGTTGCTTTTCAATAGGTCTAGACTCTGTTGAATCCCAAACTGTGGAAAGGTTTTCTCTCTTTGAATAACATCCCCGAATGAAGCTTAAGTGACTATATGGACTACAAACTTTTGTCAAAGAACCTCTGCCATGAACCATGCACCTATGTGTATTCCTTTCTTTTGTGATTGATTTTGTAAGGATAATGCTGACTTTATTTGAGGGGTGGCAACTCCTGCAAATTTGACCAGAAATTGAAGTGGACCGTAGCATATTGTCACTGTCATACATGAACCTCTTATCATTCTGTCTTATTACACTTTGGGTTGGAAGATTTTGGTCCTTGTGGGGTGTTTTGTAACATATTGGAAACGCAGCCATGAAAGCCTGAAGAAAAACCAGAAAAAAAGAAAAGGGTAAGTAACATCAAACTCTAAAGGAAGAAAGGATTGTTGTATTCTTGAAAACTACAATATCTTTGAGACAAACATAACTGATAATCTTCAAGTGAACCACAATCAACAAACAGCATTAGGGCTTATTCAAAATCTCCTATTTGGCATCCCAAAAGTCTTCAGTTTAAGCAAAAAAAAACACTGAAACAGCATGACATGAATATCCCAGAACTTGTATTTCTGGATTTGATTAACTAACTTCATTTCTACACATATATTCCAAAAGTTGCACAAAAACTTCTAGTACCCAACCAATGACAACAACTTTTTCTAAACAAACAAAAACACATCAGTTCCTACACAAACGAAACAAGATTACCTTAAGGCCTTGTTTTTATTGTTATGATAAACAAAATGAACACTTGACAAAATGAACACCAGTAGAAAACCATAAACTCAAGGAGTGAAATTCAAATCCATAACCTTACCTGGCTCTAAGGTGTGCTACATCCTCTATAAATGCATGTTTATATGGTTATCAGCTTCTTCAGAATCCCAAAGGAGGCATGAGTTAGTTTTTAGTTTGTACTTCCATTGGTTCATGATGATTGATTGATAGTGAAACCACAAGGACAAAAATTTCTCTAGTAATTGTACCTTATCTCAGTTTAGCCATTCATGTTTTGCAACAAGGGATAATGCAAATTTTATCATCCAATAGTTGCAACTAATAGGATGTGGATGGACCCACCTTGTAATCAATGTTACCAGTGGCATACCCAAGTACCCCAAACTATGGAGGCCACTAGAAAGTAGAATCTGAACAAACAACAAAATAATGCAATTCAATAGATACTTGTGCACACTCATTTATCAATTGGTTAGGTTCAACTTTATTATTAATTGAAAAGTTCTCCTTTTTTTTTTTATATATATAATCAAGAAATATTCTTATTTAACCTCTTCCGATCACCTTGTTCTTAGAGTACGGCCCTGAAAAAGGAGAGGGACACGTCTTCTGATCTCCAAAGATTTTTCAAGGATTTGCTTGAGTCAGAGTTTAAACCCCTAATTCTGGTAAATCTTTAAAAACTCAATTGTCAACTGAGGTATCCATCTGGGGTTTATAAATTGAAAATTTGCTATAAGTGAAAATGTTGAAAACTAACAATTATGATCGTGACAATTTACTCTCTTGAAAATTAAAGTCGCTGGAAATGATAGCATAATACACTACTGTTGTTCATAGGAGGTTTCGTAAAAAATATCCTACAATTATACATTGGGCTAAGTGTTTTTTTTATTATACGAGACAAAATTATTTTCGGTGACATCAAAATGATGTTATTTTAGATTGAGAAAAATTATTTTTTGTAATTTTAATTTATGTTGGGGTTATTTTAATTTTTGTCATGACAAATTTTTTCTGCAATACAAAACAATGTGCTTTAAAAATCATATAAAATAATTCTATTTTTTTGGAGAAGTTATAGTTACTATCTTTTTTTTTTTTACTATTTCTTACTACTAAATCTTAATCGTTGATTTTCGTCAATCTAACGGTTATAATTTATTGGGTTATACTTATTAATTAATTATTAATTTCCAATAAATTATAACTGTTAGATTGACAGAAATTAACGGTTAAGATTTAGTAGTAAAAGATAGTAACTATAACATCATCCCTATTTCTTATACGAGAAACATTTGACCCTTCTTATATTAAATGTTATATACTAACTTACAAAATTCGGATGGATCCACTTTAATTATCTAGAAATCTTTTAACATTTCTTATTCATTTTGGTCGAGAAGAATTTTTTTTCAAGTTTTGTGTTTTTTGTATTTTTTTTTCTTTTTAATTTGAGAAATTAAAAACATATGATTTTTGTTTAAAAATATGAATTAACGGTCTAAATTTACTAAGAATGAATAGTAACGATTTATTCACCTATAATAAATCAAGGGATTAATATTTATTATGCTGTAAGAAATAATTTTATCTTATATATATATATATATATGTGTGTAATGTTACTTTCGTTAACTTTATCTAATGTTCATTGAAACGACGTCGTTTTGGAATTGAAAAATAAAAAAATTAGAATGATAAAGACTATTATAACCCTGAAATAAATTAAAATTACAAAAACACAATGATTTTCGCCTCAAAACGACATCGTTTCGATAAACATTAGATAAAGTTATCTAAAATAATTTTATAAAAAATAAACCCATATATATATAAGTATGTGTGGGCCATATTTTTTTTTTCTCTTTTTTCATATGGATTTATATGGGTTCCATATATTTTTATATATGTGTAGGAAATAAAACTATTTCATATAAAATAAAAAATAATAAAGGAGACATAAACAGTAGTTAGTTTGTACTTACATTAATCGGTACATGATGGTTGATTGATAGCGAAACCACAAAGACAAAAAGATTATCTAGTAATTGTAACTTATCTCAGTTTACCCATTCATGTTTTGCAACATGGGATAATGCAAAGTTTATTAGCCAATAGTTGCATCTAATTGGATTTGGATGGACCCACCTTCATTTAATCAATCTTACACGTGGCATGCTCAAGTACCCCAAACTATGGGGGCCAAACAAACAGCAATAATAATGTAATTGAATAGATGCTTGTCCACATTCATTTATCAATTGGTTAGGTTCAACTTTATTATTAATTGAAACTTTGCTATCCGTGAAAATGTTAAAAGCTAACAATTATGATGGTGACAAATTACTCTCTTGAAAATTAAAGTTTCTGGAAATGATAGCATAATACACTACTGTTGTTCATAAGAGGTTTCGTAAAATATATCCTGCAAATTGCACGAAGACAAAATTATTTTCATTTGTTAAAGAATAAAATAAAAGTATTAAAAAGGTCATCACCTAATGCACAAGACAAATAAAAAAATGAGTTTATGCAGCACAAGGCAGATCAATAATGAGTTTATGTCATATCCACACTTCAAACCCTAATGGCTTTTACGTGAGGGTGTGTGTGTGTTAGAGAATAAAATAAACGCATTAAAAAGGTCATCACCTAATACCTTAAGGTTTTGAGTTTAAGTTGCGCTTAATATTAATGTCAAAATCACTTTATTTTAGGTTGGAAATTTTTTTTTTGTAACTTTAATATATGTTGGGGTTATATTAATTTTTATTGTGACAAATTTTATTTCCAATGCAAAATGATGTCATTTAAAAATCATATAAGATAATTTTATTTCTTATATGATGTAAAGAATCAATTCAACCCAAAAGTTTAAGTTTTTGGGTGAGGGCCGCACACTACCTCGGCTAAGAAATTTCACAAAAAAAAGTGGGGGCGTTGAGGATCAAACCCGTGACACCAAATGTTTGATATCATGTAAAAAATCAATTCAACCCAAAAGCTTTTGGGTAAAAGACTTTTTAATGATTTATATTATATGATTTGTTAGTGAATAATGTAACTATTAAAAAGCCCTCACCCAACATCTTAAAGTTTTAGGTTAAAGTGGTTCCTTACATGTTATCAAAACTTCAGTGACCACAAGGTCACGCTTCAAGCCCAAACGGCTCTTGCGTTTGCGTGAGGAGGTAACCAACACCTCAAGGTTTTGGGTTGAAATGATTCTTTACATGATTTGACCATTCATATATTACATGTGTAGGAGATAATTTTATCTCCTACAATATGAGAAATACTAATCCCACAAATTAATCCCAAATCGACAGAAAGACTTATCTAGGGGTGTCAAAAAAAGTTACGACACACGGGTCGACCCACGACACGATATGAAAATTCTGGTCTGAATGACCCGAAAAAAATTTGTGTCGCGTTCAAATTGACAAAAATGACCCGCAAAAAAATCGTATCATTTTGCGTGTCATGTCTAATTCGTGTTCACCCATTTTTTTTAAATATATATATATTTTTTTTTTAGATTGCCCATTTTTTTATGTTTTTTTGGTCGATTTTCGTTTTGACCCTTAGTTTGCATGTAATTCGTGTTGAGTCGTGTCAACCTGCAAAAAATTATTTGTGTCAACCGCTAAAAATTCGTGTCTTGTTCGTGTTGAAGATTTTAAGACGAATAAAAATATGTTGTATTTTTTTTTTTGATAACAAAATATGTGGTATTTTAACACGAATAAAAATGTGTCGTGTTCATATTTTATATATTAATGTCGTGTCAAATTCGTATCGTGTTAATCCATTTTAACACCCCTTGACTTATTACCACAGTATTGATCTACACTTTTGATGCATTTGGTAACTAAGTACGTGCTCATTTTACAAGTAGATGGGACCATCCCCTTTTTCTAATAATTTATTAATTCGAGTTCGAATCTTTCAATTATTTTTATTCTTTTAAAAAAAGTTATTTATATGGCCCAAAAATATTTAAGCAATTTTTTTTCTTCGAAAAAAAAAACCACCCACACCCTTTTAAACTCCAAAACCAAATAGTAAGAACGGAATGAAAAACAAACTGTATTCGAACCATACTCTTTTAAATAAGCAAAAAAATATTTCCTGCATTCGAACTCAAAAGGGGTAGAATTGTTTTGAAAGAGTTTCCTCAGTCATGCACACTTTAGTCTAAAACCTCAAATCATGTGGATGATAAGGTCAATTTATTATTATCTATACTCATGTTATGCCAAAAAAACCAATTGAAAACAATGTCAATTAAAATTTTCTAGCGAAAATTGCTAATACAATGGCATTGTTATATACGATTCATCAAAACATTTTTAAGAAAAAATTGCATAGGATTGCTTAATGCTCAATAAAGTAGAATACCCAAAAACATGATCCGCACAAACCACCAGATAATTTAAGCCTACATTTAGATTTTCTTTTATGTCTGAATCAACAGAAAACAGAAAATATCAAACAATCAAAGTTTTATATGGGCCAAAAAAGAGGACTTGAGACAACTCTACTGCTCGCTAGGCAGTGTCTTAATGATATCCGAATCACCTGAAAATAACAATAACAAAATTAGAAAGACAAATCGCATAAAATTGTCTTCAATATTAAAATAATTATGCAGTAATAAGATACCAGGATCAACAATGCTGAGGCAGCACACTCTATAATATTTGCCGCATGCGGTGCCTAAATCCACATTGTCTGTAAACAAGAAACAATTTGTTAAAGATGTTTTAATAGAACCAACATAAATAGGAATCACAAAAGATTGCCATGTATATGTGCATTAACAAACACTACCAAACATCAAAACATTTGACATCAAACAGAATTGAAATTTATAAAAGAAAAACAGCAACAAAGGCATCAAGGATGGCCAACCACCAGTTCCATAAAAAGTTTATAATTATACCAAATACTAAATTACGGATGGCTCAACTGATCAAGTGTAATATCCTTAAAAACATTTTTTATATAACATCAACATCTTTAAAACCATTACATGCTTCATCTTTAACAGACTCTAAATGAAACTACCTAAACTTAAAGTCATTACAGAGCACCATGCCACAAAAGTTCTGACAGCTAAAAATTGGATAGGTTAGGACACTAACAGTAGTGCAAATCATAAAATTTCATCCACCAACGCAATTTAAATCAACCCATAATCTAAACAAACTACCTCCATTGAAACTATCGTTAAGGTATGCATGAGGCCATTTAATCATAAGGCAGCAGTGCTAATGCTGCTTTCAACTTGACTGACCAATTTAAGAGTAGTATTTTCAAATGAAGTTCAAGTTACTAAAGCTGACTTACAATGTGGGCTTAACGTACAATGAATTTGATATATAAAGTATTTGTGACCTAAATCATAATGAATGAAGAAATATAGTAATAGATACTTAAGCACAGGAAAGCCTCCATTGTATTTACAAATGTTCCTAGCCAGGACATTTTAAATGAAATATGCCAAAGATTGTATCAAGGTAAATGATCAAGGCTTTTAGCAAGCTCTACCCAATATGTACAACAGCAGAGGATGTTAAAATATCAAGCAATCAGATACGAAACCTTTATCATCTATCATTTAATGTCGTTTACCGATTAGATATTAAAAGAGGACAGAGAAATTGGTTAGATTGAGAACTTACTCCCATTATAATGATGAACTCCAACCTTCGCCAACATAGCATAGTACTCTATTTCAGACTTCCTCAATGGTGGGCAATTGTTGGCAATGATAATCAGTTTTCCTGCAAAAAAAATTGACGAAAATTTACAACAATTCCCATACAATTAGCAAATTACTCAATACACAAGCAAAATCCACAACAGTTGAAAAAAAACCAGTTACAATCTTCAGAGATCTAATCACTACAATTCAGTTTGAATCTCCAATATACAAAAACAACACACACAAATTGAAATCTGACCGCGCAAAAAAGCCAAATTGCCCAACCCAAATCCAATTTTCCTTCAATATTACCAAAATAAATCAAATTCACAGCACAACCCATTAATTCAGTCGTGCTGAGAAAGCACACAAAATGAGTAATAACCACATCAGAAAGAAAAAAAAATGCATTTTTTTTTCAAAATTTTACCTTTGGAGTTCCTGAGGGATTTCAGAACCGTTTTATAACCCAAAGTATACTTCCCACTCTTCATCACAAGAGCAAGCCTATTGTTAATACTCTCATGGGTCTTCTTCTGCATGAAAAATTAATCACAGAAACCATTAAAATGGAGCATGAATTAAGAGAGAGAGAGAGAGAAAAAGAAGCAGCAAAAAACAAGAATTGCAAATTAGAAGAAAAAAAATAAGAATGAAAAACACGGTGAGAGAGAGATTACAGTTTTCTTGGCGGCAACCATGGTGGCGTTAGATTCTCTGAAGCGAGAAAGAAGATTGCAGTGAACCAAGAAACCCTAATTGCAAGAGGCAGAGTCTAAGATAATATACAGTAACAAGGTTCAAGATCGCTAGGGTTTTGTATTGAACCGGGTTGTTTGGATGTTAGCTCTTTTATAATCTCCAATCTGAATAATTACTATCACTCAGTATATTGGGCTGGGCTTGTTGTAGTTCTGTTTTAACTCTGGATATTGACTGTAGGCCCAGTTATGGATAATAGATCACTCGAGAAATGAGGTGAATATTTATATTATGATGATTGATGAATATTAGGGGTAAATGAGTTAGAAAACTTGTTAGGTGTCTATAGCCTAGCTTGCTTTTGGATATAATGAACTCATGATTTTATGTAAATTACTCAAATATCTCACTACTAGATCAATTCTAATGGCTTAAATGACTATTATGTTTTTTAATAAATAAATATAATTTTCTTAAAACATACTAAATGTAAGTTTAAATTAATTTATTAAAGTATAATAAATGCGAATACAAATAATTTTATAAAATGTATTTAAATATAAATTTGACTTTTAAATATTAGTATAAATTAAGTGTTAATTGTATAATATATATTTAATGTAAGAGTGAAAATAAAATTTGATTTTTGTAGTATAATTAAAAAATGAAATAAATATAAATAATATGAAAAAATTTTATTAATTATTAATTTACTTTAAATTAAATTACAAAAATATAATAAAAAATTAATACAATTCAATTCAATTGATTGTTTTTTATTTTCAACAACGTAGTTAAATTGTCAATATTTTGGTTTGTAGTTTCAGCTACTGTATAAAGTAATCATAACCTACAATTTATAGAAGGTGATACATTATTTTTGAAAGCTTGATTGGCTAGACTAGGCAGGCTAAGTCATATACTTTTTAAAAATAAAAACAATGACAATATAAAATTTTTATTATCATATAATCAAACTCTTACCTTGTCAGGAAATTAAACTCTTTGTAAATAATGATGAATAAATTATAAACAATTCTGAAGTCTAATGTTGCAAGGAGAAGGGTGTCAACTGTCAAACCATGAAGAAGAGTCATTTAAAGTAACAAAAAAATCTAATTAATACTATAATTCCATATTAAAATTACAAAATCAAGTGGTGAGAAGGTAGAGAATTCAAGTGTGAATGATAAAGTCCTACATTGCAAATGAATGGACTAGGAAAAGAACATATAAGTCAAATGATTCAAAACATAACGTTTAAAGGTTTTTGGTTGAGATATGATGTGTTACCCACTTATTATTCAGTCAATTGATATGTGATTTATGTAGGAAATCTTAGATTTATGCGGAAGCTGTTTAGGACCTAGTACATTGGTATGCTTACCGAATCATCCTTGTTTCACAATTACCTCTCGGTGCGCAGGTCTCGTGTAGAATCTTCCCTTGTAAGATTCCTCTTCACGAACAGCTCACCTCAGCGCCGCAGCACGAACAACCTCCTTGAAGCTGGACTGTGGCAGATCTTCCAAACTATCTCTCGAGGAGGAAGGGGAAGTGTGTGGGCACTGATTAGATTCTGAGCTTGTCTCTTTCTCACAAAAAAGACCCTTGGAGACTGATGACTTAAGAGGTACTATTTAGATGGCTTCCAAGAAACCCTAGCTCATTGGGCTCTAGGTTCCTTGGGCTCTTCTCATACTAATAACCCATTTGGGCTTTAGTAAAAGAGCAAACCCAACAATCTCCCACTTGCTCTTTTGGATACAAACTTGAGTCGTAAAACCCAAGATCATGTAACCCATAAGTCATCGTCTATCCGAAAAATACCTCATCCCTTGTCTCAAGCTAGCTTGGGGATCTACCATCTGTTATTAATCAAGGCTCCTGATAATCAACGAATGATTATCTAATTCGGTGCTACTCCACTAAAAGCCCGAACTTGAACTCCAAGATTAACAACACTTATAACATGAATATGCATTGCCCCTTTGTAGAATGTCTATAATTGATTGACAAGTTTTTCTGTAACTCAATCAATTATTTATTTCCTTGACTATGATAGTTTCTCTAATGGATTACATGCACTGGCCAGTGTCTTTAATATCCAAGTACCGAAACATATCAAGGAGACATATCCTACAAATTCCATGTTGTTTATCTCATAAATACCGATAATCAAATAATCTCACTCCCAAAATACCGAGTTATTGGCCGTCAATAGATCGAACTTCACCCGTTGGTAAATCAAAGAATGAAAACTATTTGATTACCTATTTATAATAAACTCAGGATTAAGAGCAATCACATAACTATAGTTAACTGGAGATTTGATACCTTATGACAGAAAAACAACCTTAATCAAATCTCTCCTTGATCCTTTCAATGTGAATGTTAATTCACACCAATATTTTACAATGATTCGGACAAAATCATTTCATAAAATATTGCAGCCTGAATAAAGTGCCCAACTTTATTTAACGGCTGTGACTTCATTCATCAATTGTGAGAACCTATGATCATGTCCTCCATGAACGTATCCATATGATCATATACTCCACAATTTGATCCGGACCTTTATGTCTGTAAATAATGCGCAAAATAAATAAATAAAACCTTATTTATGAAATTCAGAAAATTATTTTATTGTTTCATCGTCTTACTCCAAGAGCACAATGAAACCAATAACTCCCACTTGCTTAATGCAAGTCTGGGATCCTCCTAAGACCCAAAGAAGTAACATGCCTCTCGAACACAAGTTCAGGCAAACTCTTAGTAACTGGGTCTGCAAGATCCACCTCTAATGCTATCTGAGTTTAGTGAAAAACTCATAGCTCGAGGTTGATTTTCTTGAGTCAATATCCACTTGAAATAACTGAATTTTTGAAAACTCAGCTTTTCAAGACTCCCACTAGAATATACCAGCATATAATCTCTCGTTCTCCAAAGATACTTAAGTACATGCTTAACAATAATCTAGTATTCCTCTAAGTTCAAAATGGTACTTTCTCACTACTCCCACTGCGTGACAGATGTCTGGTTTAACGCCCAACATGATATGCGTGAGTCTACCTTTGCCAAAGCATAAGATATCTTGCTCATGCATTCTTCCTTCTTAGAAGTCTTTGGTCACTCCTTAAGAAGATGAATTCCACATCTGAGAATTATAATTCTTCTCTTAGAATTCTCATGTTGAATTTTGGCAAGAGTTTTGTCAATGTAAGTAGCCTGAGGTGATGCCAACAACTTATTCTTCCGGTCTCATAAGAGTTTTATACCAAGAATATAATTGGCTTCCCCAGTACTTCCATACCAAAACACTAACTTAGCCAACTCTTTATGCTTGATATTACCTCCACATTGTTTCTAATAAGGAGCATATCATCTACATAAAGTACCAGAAAAGCTACTGTCTTCCGTTGTATCCTTTACATACAAATACACATCATTCATCAAGGTTCTCTCAAAATCAAAATTTTGATAACCTGATCAAAACTGATGTTTCAAGACTGGATGCTTGCTTAAGTCTATGAAGTAGACTTTCACAACTTGCATACCGTGTGTTCCTACCCATTTGCTATAAACCCTTTTGGTTGATGTATGTAGATATCCTGACATCCAACTCCCAAAATGAAATCTCATAATTGAGACTTATAGCAACTAAGAGAATCTGGATAGACTCAAGCATAACGTCTGGCAAAACTTGCCTCCAAGCTAGCTTTGAAGGTTTTCATCTTCCTGTCCATCCTCTCTTTGCCTTTTATGTCCACGTGCACCTTGTGGGTTTTACCCCTTTTAGTGTCTTTACTAGGACCGAACGGAGTTGAAATACAAGTATTTCATCTCATTGTTCATAGCTTGAGCAACACTTGATCAATAACATCTTCTAGTGCATTATCGTAACTAGTAGGATCAATATCACTCAACAAGAGACAACTTGAGAGTTAACAAGGTTCTCTCCCACTACGAATGTACTGCACTAGACCTTGTGTATTTATATGTAAAACAAAGAGTGGGTCAAATGATGGATCTTCAATTTCTTGAGGATCCGCTTATCCTTGATATTGTTCCTTTACATGTGATACTAATATTTCTACTAGTTTCACTTATATATTATCATGTTGAATTTCCAAACATGGTTCTCTTGTTTGTTCACTTAGAGATATATATATCCCCTCTTGAACAATCAAGGGAACAGTGGATGAAGCTTCTAGAGATTCTGGAAATTCTTGATCTGAGATAAATCTCATCAAGAATAACCTAACTTAAGATCTTATAATTTCTTATCTAGTCCTCCTTTAAGAAAATCATGTGAGTGCTCACTTAGATTATCTTGTCCTTAAGACTAAATAAGAAATCATCCCTAGTTCTCTTAGGGTAGCCAAAAGATATGCACTCTTCCATACAAGATTCCATCTCATTTGACTGTTGTTGTAGGACGTGTGCCGTAGCACCTAAATCCGAATATGGTTTGATCTGGGCTCTCACCCTTTCCATTATTCCTTAGGTGTCTTTACAACAAACTTTGACGGAACCAAGTTAAGAAGGTACATTTCCTTCTCTTAGGCATCTCCCTTGAACAACATTGACAAAGATGAATAACTGAACATGATCTTCACCAAGTCTAGAAATGTTTCATTTTTGCATACTGTAACTTCATTCAACTAATGTGTTCTTAGAGTTGACAGTTACAAAAACTATCCCCTCTTAAATCAGGTAAGACCTGAACTTACCAGACAGGTAGCCAACACTTTAGTCAGACCAAAGTGTTTTTGATTTGAACACCTACATGCTTTTCTGCCTCAGACTAAACCTCTTGGAAATTTCCAAAAGCTTTAGACTTATAGCGCACTTGGTTCATCTGTCCAAATCCAGAGTAAATATTCATATAATGAAGTACTCATCACCTCTTCTGGTCTGAACGCTAAGTGGTCCACATACTTTAGTATGTACCAGTTCCAGTTGAATAGTTGCGCAAACCTTCTTGGCCCTTGTAGGATTGCTTGGCCACTTTACCTTCCAAATAGGACTAACATGTAGCTGTTAGTTAAAAGATTAGTGAACTTTCAGTCCCTCTTTTAACTAAAACATATTTTCTATTTGAGATAATGTGACTCAATCAC